CTGTGCAGAGAGGTAATTTTCGTGGGACTATCGACTTTATAGCTGTAGAAAAATCTACGGATTTTTAATGATTACTTTTCACCCAGCCAGGATTTATGGAATGGATGATGTTTTTAGCTATATTATGGGCAAAAGCTTATGGGTAGTTCTATGATATCACGCTATCTGTGCTTCACAGGAACTGGTATGCGATAGCCTCGTAATTCTAAGGGCAAGGACTTTTTTGGTTTCTCATTATGCTATATGCTTTTTGTATTTTTTTTTTTTTAAATGCTATATGCTTTTTGTGTTTCTTGATCCGAATCTTCTATATGAAGGCTTTATGAGGGTAACCATTCTGCCCATATGTAATTATCTTCTTAATAACATATCTTTTTCTATAAAAAGAATGTAAGATATTAGGCATAGATGAAGAAAAGAACCTGGGCCTACCTCATCAACTAATGACTTTAGTTTAGAAGCTGCATCTTTCTTCAGCTGCTTCTTTCTCTTTGCTCTAAGTTCTTCTGTATTTCAAAATAGATAATATGAACTCCTGTCAGATTATCAGGAATTGTTCAAAAAAGAAAAAAAAAAGGAACATAAACCATGTTAAATAACTTAAGATCAGGCACATAAGCCTGTCATACAGCCAGAGTACTAGCAATAGAAATGAAATTTGGGGCAAGATCGTAGACTTACTACTTGACAGGGATGTATCTCATGTTCAGAAAGAAAATAAAGGAAAGAAGAAAAATTCGCAGCCAGATGATAAAAGAAGGAAATGGGAGACAAAAGTACAAACAAAATCGTAGCATCAACAAACAGCTAGGGCTATCAAGAAGCCAGTGTTAAAATGCTAACAACTTTTTCTTGATAATTTTCAAATTGTAAAAATTTACTGTAAAGTATAATTTGTCTAGAAAAAACTCTTAGAACTTTACAAACCTTTTGCTGCGTTAACTTGGCTAAGCAGATAATCTCTTTCTTGTTGATCGAGTAGTAATTGTTGAGCTTTCGCCAATGCTGCACACAGGACAACAAAAGCATGAAAAGTAAGATTGTTTTCCTGGAACTTGTAATGCACAATATATTTAAGAAAACTGAAGTTGTGTCCAATATAGAAATATTTCATGATTATCTATTTTCTGTGTTTTATCCGGAAAAGAATAATCCCTCTGACATCCAATATCACTGCTAAAAGGGGCGGGTAAAAAGAATAAATCTACAAAACCTCCAAAAGCCTCCTTTGCCTGTGGATGCTTGCATTTATCAGGGTGAACCATCAAAGAAAGCTACAGATTTTGACATTAAACAAGTCAATAAATAATAGGAATCAAGATGAGCACAATCATAAGGTTAAAAGGAGACACTGATCCAATGCCATGTCAGAGACTTACCTTGCGGTACTGCTTTTTCGCATCCTCTGGTGATGCATCAAATGGTAAGTTTAGATAATCAAATGGATTTAGCTTGAAGCACGAAAGAATCCTATGAAAAGATCCCAGAAGAAAAACTATTCTTTACTAAAAGAGTAAGTATTATTTGAAATAGAGAAAAGCAATACAAGTATTGGAAAGAAATTTATCCTATAAACCTCCAAAAATAAACAACAGAAGCAAAGAGAGAATGACTCAAACACAATAACAACATAATCAATCTGTGATGGATGATGAAGAAACACCAAAACCATGGACCTCATCTCAAAAAGCAGAGAGAAAAAACTCCTTAGCTCAAGAAATAATATCCAAATGAGACCTAGCTTAGGAAAAGATAGCACCTTTTGACAACAACATATTCTCCTTATTTTGCCTAAAACTATGTAAATAAGTGGAGATAAAAATCTCTAGGAAACGTCAAACAAGGAAAATTATCCAGTCCAACTCTCCAAGGCACAATTGAAGAAACAAATGGCCACAATTCTCCAAAAGCTGAAAGTACATCAACAGATATTTGGAGGAAAGAGATCTATGCATCTGAAGCCAGGTTATTACTGGTCCACTTCGTTCAAAACAAGGATCTAGACAAGGTTTTAACATTGGGATGGAGCTTAA